TTTTAACTATCGTAAATAGATGCTGGTTGCCAAGCCCTCAAACTTTGATCATGTGACCACGGGGATGCTCAGTGGTCGTAAGACCGGTCATAAGTCAATGCTGTTGAGACTTTGAACAAATGGCCATGGGTTAAGGACTCCCGGTTTCTTAGAAGATTCATTCTTTCTTACCTGCAACAAAAGGAGGGGAAGAAAGTCCCTTGATACTGCATTTGCTAGTCACAGTTTATAGTTATTTTCATTAAATGTTTGCATTAAAAAAAAAAATCACGAGCAATTTCAGTTAACTTTAAATCTGCTAAACGTTTTTAAAATTACTAATGGCGCCTAGGTTAATTAGTATTAGACACTTGTGGGAATGCAGCCGTGCATAATGTCCTTTTTTTATACACGTGTGTGGTTAATTTATGGACCCACCCAGAGAGCTACCATCTTCAGCCAGGGGTTGCACATTTACAGGTAATCAATAAAAAAGCTCACCACCTCACAAGTAAAATGGTTTATTGTGAAGTGTTTTGCACTTCCCCGGGGTTTTTCTAGCACTTCTGTCAAGACAAGCACATCACACTTCGAGAAGTCAATCAGATTATTCTCCTGTTTCCATAGAAACCACCCAGCAGTTTTCTAACTTGGGTCCCGTCCCATCCATCCCCCAGGCACCTAACTCTTTTAATTAAGCAACACGTTTGGTAGCCTTCTTTTTATTTTTTGTTAAATTAAAAAAAAAGGGGGAAAGATTCACTTGTTTTGGTAAACGAGGAAGCAAATTAAGACTCTGGTGTTAGAAGACACCAATTCTGAGAGTTGCTATAGGTTGGATTTTGTCCCAGAAATCTGTTTGTGGCATTTTTCTTTGACAGAACAAATGAGTAGTGTAAAAAGCAGCTGTTTTATTTTAGAAATCACGTGTGATTTCATGTTGTGTGATGTAAGTATGGGTGGGCTACTTTTCAGATAAGGGGTATCAGTTGACCATTAAGGTAATTTCAGTCTTGCCGAGATGACTCCGTAAAATCTGTGACTTTACAAAATGAAGCCTGCAAATTGCTCTGAGGTTATACCCCAGCAATTACAACCGTTCCTGAGTTTTGTTAGATTTTAGCACCGTTTTGAACTATTAAAAAAATCACCTCCCTATTCTTAGTTCTCTTCCTAACAAATGAAATACGTTTTAACAGTCTTGCATGTGGTAAGACAAAAATCCAATTTTCCTTAAGGTGCTGGGCCACAAACTACCTGCTTGGTGTATTTTGCAAAACAGCTAGCAATACTGTGAAGTATCTGTATTACTTCCCCCCGCCCCCCGCTCCCTTTGATAGAACAAAATGTGCGAGCAAAACATTTTTAATGGCCTGAACTGATGGCACTAGCTTTTCTCTAAATTTAAATCAACTTTCAAATAGCTCAGGTACAGCAATCAAATTCCATTGATGTCTTAATCAACAGAGGAGACTTAGTTGAAAAGCGAGACTCAAGGGAATAAGCATCTTAAGCCAAATCTTCTTAAAGAATACTTAATCATTGAATGAATTGGTCAGAGGTTTAGCCAGCATAGCAAT